CAAAAATTTTTTTAAAAACTTCTACAGTACGATACAGTAAAATTTTAGATAAACATCCAACTAATTCCCTCTATTATTCAAAGAATTTTTACGGCAGGAGCCGTATGGTACAATCGTACACGACAACCTTGTCCCACAATTGTTTTCTTTTTCTTTTTCTTTTCCTGGTCAAAACCCACAATTATTTTTTTAAGTGCGGAAAGAATCATGATGAAATGTTTCAAAGGAACTCAACAATCATTTCTGGATAAAGTTTCACCCTGCTAAGGATGGAGAAAATGGGATATGTTATTGGTTGATACAGCAATAAAAGTAAAAGCAAGCATGTATGTTAGTAAAAGAGACATTTATCCACTTCAGTTATTCCATAGTATTTGAACGGGAAAAAAAGTATAGGGGCTGGGCTAGGGACTACTGTGATCTGTCTAGTTAGAGATGATTGCAAACAATTGACGCATTTACATCAAAAGAAAAAAAAATAAAACGCGTATGAAAGTCAATAATTAATGTGGTGTAAGAAGCAGAGATTCCAAAAGTAATTGTGCTTTTGTAGAACACGGGCCCAACTGCCCTCATTTCTTTAACAAACTCCACTCCATGCCGTGCAACATTCATTTTATCGGGCTGTATTCTATTTTTTGCCTCTAACTTGATAGATTTTGGAAGATGTGATGAGATTTCGCTAACACTTGACGATGATTCTGCTGTCCGTCTTTGAATTCGATGTGTTCAAGAAAAACCCATGTTACATATCCTTCTAGTTGGTCTCGTATCAGCTGATCTTGTCTCTTTTTGCCTAAAACATCTGTCGAGATCTACAACCGTGCAGTGTTGTGCCACAAGTTTCTTTGTGCGTCATGCTCTCCTGTTTCAGAACTTACTACACCAAAAACTTTACCTGATTTTCTCGATTCATCAATTGCATGTGAGTTTGTCTTTAATTTGGTAATACTTCTGTCTTCAGACATGCATATTTTAGCTGGTTTGGTGCTTTTCAGTATTATACAACTGCTTTTGATCTTTTTAAAGATATATATTTGTTCTGGGTTGAAAGTTTTGAAAGTGTCAGCTTTTTATTTATCTTTTGTGGTTCTAGTTCATGCTTATTTTGACTATGTTGCACTTGCGGCTGTTTGGAATCAGGTTGTCGCTGCAACTTGAGGTTGTTGTGCACTATGTACGTCTTTACTGCAGTTAAGATTTGGATATTGTTTCCTCCCTCTCCCGGATTATAGAGAATGGAGGCAAAAAGAAAAGTTTTTCCGAAATATTTTTATAGATGATTATACGTTCTAGGCGTTTTATAGTTAATCTTTCTATTGTTCAGTCTCTTTCCTTTTTTGCCTCCTAATTTGTGCAAATGAGAAAGTTTGGGCGACAAATTGCTAGCTTACTGCCAATTCATTTATTTAGTATGTTTAGGAAGTTCAGTATATGACAAATGGATGTATTCTTTAACGCTTTAGTACTTGAGGGGCCGGTTTCTTGGTTGATGGTATTTCTTGAATCAATGATGTGTTGATTGTTGTATTCAATCGTCATTTCTGCTTTTATGGGGAAGAAGTAGAACAAAAGCAAATTGTACTTCAGCATTATGTAGCACACAGATTCATATGCTACAGTGTTCAAATGAAATATTAATAATTCTTCGTAGCTGTATCTGGTTTGCCTCTTTAAGGATTGAGAAGAATATCACTTTTTAATTGGTGAAGCAAAAAATGAGGGAGGACAGTGGCATCTCACTTTACCGAGATAGGCTGGATAAAACACTTTGTTCTCATGATCTTACTGACGTGGAGACACTTGGGACACTCGTTAAAGATCACATTTTACGTTCATCAAAAGTGGAGAATGAAGGTTGGGGTTAGAAGCTTCTCTTCCAAAATCTTAAGTTCCAATAGTTTAGCTCACTTTAAAGTTTATGCAACTAAATCATACTAAACATTGATATTCATGCTTTGTAGATTATATCGACAATATTGCAGAAATGAGAACCAAAGAAGTCTCACATTTACTGGGAATGTTAAGGAGTGCCTCTGTGGATGATCAGAGGTCAAAACACAGTGACGCTTCACATCGTGGTTGGAAAGTATGTCTCTATTCATATTGCTTGCAGTTCCTGGTTGCAGTTTTCATTCTGGTGAAAAGAAGTGTGGTAATGATACTATTACCATATTATTTTGTCAGGTGAAACAGGATACTGAAGAATTTCGTGTTATGTATAGAGAAGGACCAGAAGGCACTCCATTTCATACCCTTCTTGTTGAAGGCTATGTAGATGGGCCTTTAGATGTTTGTAAGCTACATTAATTTGCTGAACTGATCTCCCTCTTCTTCCATGTTGAATGCACATTTGGTTGAGTCCCACATTCCGTGTTGATTGCTATTGAGAACTTTCAAATGGTTTTTCTATTCACTTGCAGGTCTATGCATCACATGGGAGGTGGGCTTGTTTCAAAAATGGTAAAGGTTGCTTCCAGATATATGTGCCATTGTTTAACATTATAATGACACAGGATATGCTTATTCAATCTTGGGTTTGTTACCTGTTGAAATTTGTTTAGTGTTCTGAAAAGATCATCTCAACTGGGTAAGCAGAGTTAGGCAGGGATACACCTGCTTTTGCTACCACAAACTATGAAAGGAGCAGCATCTGATATGCTTGAGCTGCAGCTTGGCTGTTGCATTTACAACAGTACAGTTGAATTCATTAAGCACATTGGTAGCTCTTAGAATAAAAGTGACGTGATACCATGCTCGCTGGATTCTAAGCCAGTGACATTTGGAGTACAACCAGACAACTTGTGTGAATCAAATCCTGTTCATCCTTTTGGCTGTTGAAATGTTTTTGAAGTAATTACCTAATATTGCCTAAAGTTATGAGCTTTAGCATTTTCTTCCCTAACAATTTCCTGCAGTAGGTGTGGGAAAACAAAAATGGTTAAGGGGAAAAGGAAAAGATGCATCTAGTACTATCAGATATTGCAATCCAGTTATGCTATATCCCTAATCAACCTGTAATAGCTTTATAATAAATTTTTACATTTCTATTGGATGTATTTGAAATTATGTACATTGGTTCTGTAAATGACTCTTTTTTTTTGGTTTATTGTAACCTGGTGATGTGGTTAACATTACTCAAAATCTTTGTCTGCTTTCTACCGCTCCAATTTTGAATTTTTGTAATAACATCATTCTGTTGTATCTTTTAAACCAGGTGGCCACAGATTAGCATTCCAAGTTTCAAGATCATCTCTTCCCAGTGTCTGCAAAAGGTCAGAATTGGTGAACAGATATGTTTAGTGAGGTTTGTTTTTAGGTAAAACCAAATATTTTCAGTTGCTCTATATAAGTCATACCTTGCCTTCTGATGTGCTCAATTACTTGGAAGGAAGAGTGAAGATTTCATGGCCATTGTTGACACGGGAGGCTCTAGTCCATTGTTTTGAGTTTGAATACTTACAAGATGATCTGGTTGTTGGGCTTTTGAAGTCGGTAGGAATTTAACAATACGTTATCTTGTCTAAGTTGTGTTTTCTCCTTTGCTTTTCTGGGTCCCTTATTCTTGAACCGTATCTTAAACTGCACTTTTCTGTCTACTCAGATATCTGACTTGGAAAGCATTGATACAAGTACTCATGGTTTCGCTCGGAAGGGATACCTGATGCACAAAATGTTGTCCGAATTGATGTGGTGGGAGGTGGTGTTTTACAGAAAGTTTCTGCAAATAGATCTTACTTCCGGTAAGCAGTTTTGGTTAAATATCATGTACCTTTATTATAGAATGATAGATAAAAATTTGGTACTGTTAAGTGCTGCTTGTAGATCAATTCTATTCCATGACCTGAAAGATAAATGACTTGTTAATTACATAACTGGAGGACCATGATAGAAAGAATTCAGAAATACATAATAGATCTGACATGAGGATTTAATTATACAAGGATGAATCTATCTATCTGTGTATCTACGCATGTATAACCAACATGGCAACTGCATTTTGACTACTTTTATGAAATTTTACTTCAAGTGTTTAAACATGTGGAAAAAGAATTTTGTTTATGAAAAGATCACATGTATCTTGAGTTTATAAAAAGGCTTATATTTCAGTGCATCTTGAGTTTAATATTCATGCTTAACTTATAGTTTTCTGTTTCTGGCTTACAATTTTTTTCTTTGATTCAAATATTCTAGGTCCATAGCAACCGTGGATGTTAAACTGGACTTTGTTCCTCCAGCACTCATTAATTTTGTTTCAAGGCAGATCATAGGAAGTGGTTTCAGGCTCTATAAAAAGGTCAGTAATGCTTTTCTAGAGATATCTTTCTTAAAACAATTTAAGTCTCTACTTGCATTCCTATTGGTGACACATGCATTTCATATTTTCATGAACATTCATCTAATGGTGGCATGAACAGGGCCTCTTATTGTGATTAGGAGGTCCATATAGTTCCTCTCTCAAATTCTTACTAATGTTACTCGTAGGATCCTGAAACTGTATGCATATACATAGCTAAAGTTAAAACTTACCGCAAGCCTGGTACTTTGAGTGCATCTCTTGCCAAGTAGGATCTCTGGTTGAAGTAATGGTAAAGAGATGAAGTTGTCTGTGACCTTTTATCCCAAAGCCAAATCATTTGCCCAGTGAGTTTGAAAAGGGTGCACAAGTCCTTGCAGTTTTAACTTTCAGTGTTGGGTTTGGATCTTTTGGTGCCTAGTATCTGCTTTCCTCAGATGCATAATCCTTGGAACTCTTGCAGGAAGTTGCTTCAGTTGCAAAAGGTGATGAAGATTTTGCCAATGCTTTGAAAGATCCACTGTATGCTCGAATTCGTCAAGCCCTTTACTCAAATGGTTTACCTACCAAGACTCCTCAACCAGAAATGAATAATGATACAGCCTCTCTGCTTGAAGAAGAACCAGAAGAGAGAGAAAAATTTAGAAGTGGTCAAGAGATGGCTCATAACCATGAGCTTGCAGTTAATTCCCAAGCTGGGATTCGTTTGTTCAAGATAGAAAATCACATGGTGAGATCGAGGAGATTAAGGAAAATGATAGTGAAGAAAGTCGATGTTTAGCTGAATTAGATCACAATAGATCTATTTATATTGCCCACGAATCAAATTGATTCTGGATTTTGGACTGACGATAAGAAAGTAGTTATTCGCCGGGAGGTTGAACAAGCTCTGAGAATATTGGATGATGTAATATCTGTTTTCCAGGGATGCAGATCAAATGATGAAACCAGGATATTGCCCGGCATCCCTAAAGAAGAATCACAAAATTTGGAAATTAATGAGGCCGAAGAGGCGGTCCCCTCAGAGGCTGATCATATCTGCAAAAATGTGGAGACACATGGTCAGCCAACAGAAAAGAAAGATCCAGAAGTGATGATTGCTGCAGATGAACCCAGGAACAGCTCCAGTAGCCGGGGTATCAGGTATTCTTTTCATATCAATAGTTTGTTTCTTACCATTGATTTATCATTTTATTCCACTTATTCAATCCATTATCAGACATACGCACTCCAGGGATGCCAACCATAATAAAATAGCTCCAGCATCGCCTGTTGAGAATGTTTCTGGTCCTCGTGAGATTGACCATGCTGCTTCGCTCTCATCTCAAAATCAGAGAACGGAATTAACGCTTGCGGAGAAGACAATGAATGAAGAGAATATACTTATTAGTCCTGATGCCAATGATGCTGGCGGAGATGAGGCAAGGAGTAGTAAAAACAGGAAAGTTCGGCTCTGCTGCTTCAGCTCTCTTTCTCGGCAGTCATCATCTTGAAAATGAGGAGTAGAGTTGACAAATAGTAGTGTCAATCTGAGTACCATTTATCATTAAATTTACCAAGTAGGTAATAATTTTTGTAACTACCAGATGATATTGATAACGTAGTACCAGCAATTATGAGTTGGTTGATAGGAGACCGGAAATGTACCAGGAGTCGGCAGGGATGGCAACGCATCCCCTGCCCCTGCCCCCATCCCGCCACCTATTAATTCTTCCCGCCCCACCCTCGCTTTCCATGAAGGTAATAATAAAAATTTGTTATATAATTTTATTATAGTTAAATTTTAGCAAATAATCAAATACTAAAATATCAATACATCACCAAATTATTATTCATTATAATTTCATAATTGAAACTCATAAAAACAATCAAATGAAAGTTATTTGAATACAATCCAATATGATAAAATAAATATAATTAAAGTAGTCAATTTTTCATTTTTGACATAAATACAATCACTAATTTATTATTATACTTGTGTTTTTTTTTTTAGAAAAAAAATGCTATTGTATTAAGTGTAATTAGAAATTTAGTATAAATGTATTAGTAACTTTAGTATAATTGATTAATAATTTCTATTAATAGACATATATAATTATTAGTATAATTGATAATATTAATTATATTACATATACTAATAAATATTAGATAATACATATAACTAATAATATCATTATCATGAGTTTGTAACCAATTAAATTAAATATTATATATATTTATATACATATATATATTTATGGATTAATATCAGAAACATCCCTTGAGATTTCTTCTAATCACACCTAGAACCCCTCATGTTTTCGAAATCACATTTAGCACCCCTGGAATAACAACTTTGGTATCATTGTTAGTCCCTCATTATTTTTGTTCCACCTTTACTCTCCTTGTGAACTCTATTTATGTAACTCACATCCCTCCAACTTTTCTAACACTACAAAATCGTCCTTGAGCAGTGTAACATGTTTTGAACATTTTGTAATTTTATGTAAGTTTCTTGTACATCTTTATAATAGATTGTGTTTCTATTATTAAGTTTTACAAATAATTCACATAAAGTTACACATTGTTTAAAAAATGTTACATTGATTTGAACGGAGATAAAAAAAAATGTGGCTATGGATTCTCATAATAGTAACAATAGTTTCAATATGTGACTGTAGTTGTAAATAAACTTGCTCTTCCATTTTTCTGAAAATGAGGTAGTATAAATAGCTTTTTGTGCATCCTAGTCGAATGGGGTTTGTAAGTTATTAATATTGCGATACCCTATTATCAAGTAAAAATGGATTGCTAATGCTATATACTCATGAATTCCCATCATCTTTAAACTACTTTTAGATTATGTTATTATTCACTTAGAAATTGCAATTTTGGCAATGACACTATGTCCATTGCCAAAAGTCAACATCACTGGAAACTCCATAGCTATTTAATATTAGGGAGTGGGATAGGAACAATTATTAGATCAACCATCCCTAAATCGTGTAACATTTTTTGAACATTTTGTAATTTTATGTAAATTTCTTGTACATCGTTACAATAGAAGTGTGATAAGTTGTTAGTGTACATATGAGTCCAATATGTAATAATCGTATTTGTGTTGATAAATTTTACAAATAGTTCAATTAGAATTACACTTTGTACAAAAAATATTACATAATTACATAATAGTTTTACATAATTTAGGGAAAACCTCAAGGGAGGTTTCCGAAATTAACTCTACATAAATAGAGTTCATAAGGAGGGTAAAAGTGGAACAAAAATAATGAGGGGCTGACAATGATACCAAAGTTGTCATTCCAGGGGTGCTAAGTGTGATTTCGAAAACATGAGGGGTTTTAGATGTAATTAGAAGAAACCTCAAGGGAGGTTTCAGATATTAACCCTATATTTATTTATATATATATATATATTTTAGCGGGTAGCGGGCCGGGGATGGAACGGAGGTATACTTTCCCGTCCCCTGCCCTGTTCCTAAATGACGAGAAAAAATTCCCACTCCCCCTCCCTGCCCGCCCTATTAGGCCCCTACGAGCACACTATCTCGTTATTAGGGGTGCAAATGAATTGAACTGCTCGCGAGTCTCGATCAAAGTTCGACTCGAGTTCGATCAATATCAAGTTCGAACGGTTCATTTATAACATGAGTCGAGTTCGAGTCATATGTATGAAGGCTCCTGTGCTCGCGAAATACCCCTACTTAACTAGGCATACCATCAAAATTTCCATCAATAATACGACTAGAATCATTGTAGTTTTCATACTGTTTTGGTCTCTGTAACGATGACTTCTAAAATGGTGTTGTAATGATGTATTGTAATGATGACTTCTAAAATGACAAGGACCACACTTTTTTGGTCTTTGTATTTCTCGGTGAAAATTCTTGCAAAAGACATCAAAAAGGCTAGTTCATGTCTTTAAAGTTTATGCTTACTTTCTCCATCACTTTTTGAAAGTTCTTGCAAAAGTTTATGCTTACTTTCAACCTGCAATTTTGTTACTTACCAAGCCCAACGGTGTTGAAAAAAAATTACTTTTATTTGTTGTTTGGAATTTAGGCACAACTACAATATGGCTATGTCTCCTCAAGATATTTCTTTATAACTAGTTAAATCGGCGAGTGATTCTGCCGGAAATAACAATGAGGAGGAGCTAGAATATTCCATTGGAGATGAAGAACTAGGAAGTGAAGAAGAGCAGTTAGAAGGTGATACACAAACCCCGGCTCAAACTTTGAATCAAGAGGTTGGTCGGTGATGATCTATATAATTTTAGAAGGAGATTTTATTACATATACCTTGAGACTCTACATGTTTTTAGGTAATCTATATTGGTTGCTGGAGAACTTAATCTAGAGTGATTTTATTGGTTGTTGGAAGACTTAATCTAGAGTGATTTCAAACTATTTGTTCCTTATTTTTGAGTTTGTTTGAGGTGTTGGACCTTTGAATTGAAAAATTGTGAAACAATTATGTATGTGGAGTTGTGGACATTTGTTTCTGATTTCGTGCATGTATTATTAGACAATGAAGAACTTGTTTGTTGTTACTTTTAATTCATGTCTGGAATTGTTAAATTCAAGTTTGCAAGGCATTAAATAGATTAAAACGTGCTATTGGAGTCAGGTTATATAAACTGGTTATGTTTAGTGACAGAAATTTTCAAGCTAAATTTGAGCCATTTCGAGTTCTTGTTGAATTGAGTAGATCGAGTCTTATCGAGTCGAACTTGAGCCAGCTTCTTACTTAGTCGAGTCGAGCTCGAGCTCGAGCTTGAATGTATAGTAGTCGAGCCTGACTCGATAAGTTTAATGTTCGACTCGACTCGATTCGTTTGCACTCTACCCGTTAACCATCCTAGGCTATTCAACAGTTTTGTTTTTGATCCAACTTCCACTGAACCGTTGATGGTACAAGAAACATCTACAAACATGTACGTACAAGGATCCGTCTTCTGCTGCTATTCTCAAATGGAAACACCAAACCGTAGGCCATAAACCCGTCTTGCATGCTAATTTATATCTATATGAATTGCAGAAGAGATTTTTAGCAGAGACCCTTTCAATGACTTCCAAATTTCTCATTCTTTTTTTTCTAGATTTTTATATTTATTTTAATACATAAAAGTAGTGGGTTATAACTAACCCTATCACCAATCAAATTTAAAATTTAAAACATTCCCACTATCTACTTCATAAACGGTTTACAGTTTGTTATTTATACTTTAAATCCTTTTTACTCCTTAATTAAAGACAAATGTTCATTTATATGCTATTTTAATACAATGTTATATTTTTATAATTAAGAAATATTTGTCACCACATTAACTCTATAACCACCTCTACAAATGAGTTTTGCAAATTACAATCATGATTTAAAAATATCACAAATGTGCAATTAAATATAAATTTGAGAGGGTAAAGTGCTGCTAAATATAAAATTAAGGATTTTACTATATATAAGCCCTAAAAAATCCCAAGAACGTAACAAGTAGTGGGTTATAGATTTTTGTATTTATTTTAATAGATAAAAAGTAGTGGGTTATAACCAACCCTATCACCAGTCAAATTTAAAATTTAAAACTTTCGCATAATCTATTTCATAAACCGTTTATAGTTTGTTACTTATATTTTAAATCTTTTTTACTCCTTAATTAAAGAAAAATGTTCATTCACATACTATTTTAATATAATTTTAATTCGCAAGCATACAACATGATCAAAAAACAACAGAACCAATTAGGATTAGATTTTGACTCAAAAAAAATTAGGTCTATATGGCACTGGCACGTTGCCGTAACTTACGATGCCAATTAGGACTATTTAGTGTTTTTTTTTTGTAAGGAGTTAGGATACTATAAAGTTTATTTAGACAAACTTTGACTCATCGGTGATTTGAGTATCAAATTATTGAATATACTACAAATCTTATAATATCAGTCTGCTATAAAAAAAATAATAATTTACTAGCATGTGGTATTTGCGTACGAAATTTCAGAGGTAAATCAAATGCTTTTACTTATACTTTATATAATTTGAATAGTATTTTAACGAATATAACCGTACTATGCAGGATCATCACTTTGTACAATTGGAGTTAGCAAATTGTATATCAATTACAATTTAAATTTTGCTCGATACCTGCGCAGTTTGTGAGTTCTATCAGTAACACTACATCAAACTTTTAATAATGTTATTTCATACTCTTATCAACGTGTATTTCAAAAAATTGTAGGTTTGAAAATGATACATGTGCTCAAAAGTTAGTTACGTGGTTGAAATCAAGCAATTTTATAACATCACAAGCATTGTTGATAGCAAATTCAAAGAGAATATAAATATCCGAATATACAATCATGCCTACGGTAAACTTACTCTATTTAATTTAATTACTGCACAAATTTTTTAAATTTGTAATCATAACCTATACCTTCTTTCATTCTTATTAGATTAAATATTTTCGAATACTTAGTTACATACAAAGCATTAACATAGAAAACATGTTCTATGAGTTATGCAAAAATTGTGGATAACTATATGAAGGTCGTTTTTCAAAAACATTGTGTATGCATTGTAATGATGTGGTCGACACTGTTGTTAGGTAATTAATTTCATGTATCTTTAATTTCAACAAA